TTATTATTATTATAATTATTATAATTATCATTATCATTATTAATATCATTATTATCAAATCCTCATGATTATCATAAGTACTATTTTTTAAATTATCCTTATTGTTGTTGTTATTATAATTTCCATTAATATTATCATCATTATCATTATCAATACTATTATCAATACTAACAATATCATTATTATTATCTTTTTCATTATCAATATTATTATTATCATTATTTTACCGTTGTTGTTATAATCATAATGATCATAATAATACTTATCATCATCATCATCATCATCATCATTATCATTATTGTAATTACTATTATTATTATTACGATCATTATTATTATTATAATTTTCATTATGGTTATTATTATTATTATCATTATCATGATCATTATTATTATCATATTATTATCATCATTATCATCATTATTATTGTTAGTATTATTATTATTATCATTATTATTGCTATTACTATTATTATTATTATTATAATTATCATTATCATTATCATTATCATTATCATTATCAGTATCAGTATCAGTATCAGTATCATTATCATTATTATTATTATCATTATTGTTGTTGTTGTTGTTATATTCATTATTATTATTTCTACTGTTATTGTTATTATTATCATTATAATTATCATCATTATCATTATATCATGTTTATCATTACCATTATTATTTTCATTATGATTATTATTATGATTATGATTGTTATTAGCATTATTGTTATTATTATTATTATTATTATTATTATTATTATCATTATTTTCGTCATATCTTTATCATTCTTATTATTATCATTGTTATTATTATTACAATTATTATTATCATTATTGTTGTTACTATCATTATTGTTAGTATTATCAACGTTATTATTATCATTATTATTGTTGTTGTTGTTATTGTTGTTATCTTTTAATATTATTATTATTATTACTATTATTATTGTCATTATTATTTTTTCTATCATTATTATTATTATTGTTATTTTATTTTATTATCATCATTATTACTTATTATTAATATTATCATTATCATTATTAGGATTATCATAATTATTACAAAATCATTATTATAATCATCAAATTATTATATTCATTGTTATTAATGTTATTGTTATCACTATCATTATATTCATTATTATAATTATCACCATCATCATCATTGGCATAGTTATTTTCATCGTTTTTATTATTATCAGTATTAGTATTATTATCATTATCATTATTACTATTATAGCCATTTATATCATCATTATCATTATCATCACTTATCATTATTATTATTATTATTATTATTATTATTATTATTATTATTATTATTATTATTATTATTATTATTATTATTATTATTATTATTATTATTATTATCATCATCATCACCATCATTATTATCACTATTATTATTGTTATTACAATTGTCATTATTATCAATATTATTGTTATTATTACTATCATTATTATGACCATGTTTATCACTGTTATTGTTAGTATCATTGTCGTTGTTATTATTCTCATTATTATCATTAATGTTTTTATTGCTATCATTACTATCATTGTTATTATGGTTATCATTATAACTACAATAAATATTATCATTTATACTATTGTTGTTGTTAACATCATTTTCATTGGTGTTACAGTAAAACAAATAATGACGATAATGATATCGTTATCATATATCTGCAAAAGGTAGAACGGCAATATATACTTGCATATGGTTAGCCTCTCAAATCTTGTCTTTTGATCGACTAGTTTGCATGATCTAATTTATTTTTTTCTTCTTTTTGTACTTCTGCAATAAAAGTAATGATTTATGAAAAATGTGGTTTAAATTGTGGAAAATATATATTACCTTATGTATGAAGAAAGATGTGTACGATAATTATATGTTTAATGCTCTTTATGATAAACAATAACATAGCGGACAAACAGAGAAAAATCAACAATACCATTTATTTAAACCCAGTGGCACTGCCTTGTACTAGTAAAAGAACAATCAAAATCGTCGGTCATTAAAGAGCAACACAATGAATCCGGTTTTACATTTATGGGTAAACATTGGTCGAATCATATCACGTGTTTCAGAAATTGTTACATCTATTCGTCTCTTCGCCAAATATCATTATAGTGTTTCTGTCTCCACGCAGGGAGGAGCTATGGGAATATGCGACATTGAGAGAAAGAATGGTAGTTTTTTTTAGATTGTATGAAAGTCTTAGTTTGGTGTTTTAAAGAGGTCAGTGTGTTTGGTGTGGCCAGGACAGAGTAAGAGGTCGAGATCAGAACAGAGGGAGGTGGGCGGTGTGGTCCATCGCGTGCTTTAGGTTCCTGCGGATTGTTCGGTGACGTTCAGGACTGGAATTAAAGGAAAGGGTACAGTATATTGGACGAAGGGAAATGAGATATTTAGGAGGGATTGTAATCAGAGACTCAATTAGATCTCCACTCCGTCATGCACATTTGGCGTGACCGTTGAGCATCTTTGCGCCGCTGTCTCTGGAACTGGAATAACTGGCGCTGTTCAACTTGCGGTGCATAAAGTATGTGAAGACCATGACTGTGACGGCATTGAGGGTTACGAGAGCTGGCGTGACGAGAGTGACCCACGCAGGAGACGGTGACCAATGAAGGCTTTCCAGGATGTCTCGTCGGTACTGCAAGTTCTCTAAACCAGCCAGCATCTCGTAGTAAGTGGAGATAACCACGCAGATGTGAAATAGATTGTGCGAGTGCCCCATAGTATCAAAGCTCCCCGGAGACATGCATTCAGGGAGATGGGAGCCGTAGAAGGTGGCTCCCAGGATGAGAAAGAAAATGTGGCCGAAATGGAGGGAGAGCGTCGTCTCTTTGCAGACTCCGCTGTACAAGAAGCAGGTGAAGATCCACTGGACCAACATGAGCCCGATCCACACGGCGGGCACCGCGAAGGCCCCGAGGCGTAGGAGCGTCCTTATTCCCTTCGCCTCGCAGAACCGAGACAGGCAAGAGCAGAATGTGGCTGCCACGGTGTTCACAGCAGCCAGCGGGAGGAAGATGTGGGACGCCCAACCTCCCATCAGGTGGAGAGGAAAGCTGTAATTAAAACACAGCAAGGCCGCGCCCCATGAGTACATGGATATGCCGATGTAGTCAAAGAAGAAGCAAACGTATCTGGCCAGGAGGGATACGCAGGAGAAGGTGTGAGCAAAGGAACTGATGAGCATATACCCGCACGCCGAGACCATGTAGCAGGTGAAGGGGAGCAAGAACGGGTCGCCGAAGAGATCCATTGAGGTTGAGAAGGACGTCGTCAGCCACGCGAAATACAGCGCGGGAACGAAGTGGGTCCAGACGTTCATCGCTTCGTTGTTGAGTGTAAACACAGAGGCGATGGCTTGGAGGAGAGAGCAGCTGTCACTCCTGTATCCTGTGATGATCCCTGGCTCTCGAAAGGGCTCGGGCACTTCGTGGACGCTGTAGGTTCGAGGCCAAGCGATATCTTGCAACCCCTTCAGAGCTTCGCGCACCTCCTGGAGGCGGCCGCTCATGTAACTCAGGCAGGAGAACATTACCATGGTTGCTGTGTTTGAATTAGAATAATACGAAATAAATCTAAATTACGTTGGTCCTAGTTATTTTAGTTCGACGTTATTGTTCGCTACCTTGTTATCTGTTAATGGAAGATAGAGTTCCGTTCTGAATCGTCCTTATATTACTTTGCCCATTAACATTCCTTCAAACTTCGCGATTAGTTCGACGACGCTGCACGGCGCCTTGCTGCTTGTTCACCGCAGATGAAGTACCGCTTTCTTCTCCGTTTCTTCATCGGACTTCAGGCACGAGCCGGATGACGTCACATTTTCTAGAAAGGAAGACAATGATGAACAGCCAGACCGGAAATCATAATAGGAAAGTGTAACCGTTAAAGGTCAAGCTTTATTTCCCCAAATAAACGAATATCCGTAAGCGTAAATAATGCATTTAATGAATTATTTTGTTCTATTTCCAATTGTTAAATCTGATTTTTTTTGGTTTACAATTATTATCATTACTAACAATAATAAATGGCACTAAAATAAATTCAAATATGTATGGCATTATAATAATGACAACAATATTGTACATAAAAATGATAATGGTAATAGTGATAGTCATTATGATAATAACGATGATGATAATGATAATAATGGTGATGAAATATCTGATTGTTAATAAAATGATAAAAAATTATAGTGACATTAATAATAACAATTATTATAATGATACAAACAATAACAATAATTATAATGATAAAATGATAATGGCAATAACAATAATGATGAGGATAATACTAATAACCATAAAATATTAATAACAATAATCATAATCAAAATCCTAATAATGATAATAGCAATCATAATTATACGAAAAATTATAATGATGATGATCCTTATGATAGTACTACTACTAATAATAGTAATAATAATAATGATAATGATAATAAAAAACAGCAATAATAATGATAATAAGGACAGTTAAGATGACTAGTAATGATGATGATAATGATAATGATAATAATAATAATAATAATAATAATAATGATAATGATAATGATAATAATATTAGTAGTAGTAGTAGTAGTAGTACCATTAATGATGATAATAATAATAAGAATACTACTACTAATGATAATGATAATGATAACAGTGATAATAATAGTAATGATAATAGTGATAATGATAAAAAAATAATAATCATGGTGATAATGATGGTAATATCAATGAAAGTAGTAGTAGTAGTAGTAGTAACAAAAATGATAATAATGATAATGATAATAGTAATATGAATAATAATAATAATGATAATGATAATAATTATAATATTGATAATGATAATAATAATAACAACAAGAACGGTAACGATAACAAAAATAATAACGATGATAATAATCATAACTATTATTACTGTTATTATCATTATCGTAATGATAATAATGATGATGGTTACAAAATGAACAACAACAATAATAATAATAATAATGATAACAATAATAATACTGATAGGGATAATGCTGATAATAATGATAATAATAATGATAATGATAATAATAATAATGATAATGACAATAATAATAATGATAATGATAATAATAACAGTGATAATAATAATAATAGAAATAATGATAATAATGATAATAAAAGTAATTACGATAATAATAATAATAATAATAATAATAATAATAATAATAATAATAATAATAATAATAATAATAATAATGATAATAATAATAATAATGATAATAATAGTGATAATAATAATAATAATAATAATAATAATAATAATAATAGTAATGATAATGATAATAATGATAATAATAACAATAATGATAAAAACAATAATAGAAATGATAATAATAATATTAGTAATAATAATAACAATAATAATGATAATAATAATAACAATGATAATGATAATGATGATGATCATAATGATAATAGTAATAACGATGAAAATGATAATAATAATGATAATAATACTAATGATAATATTAACATTAATAACAATGATAATAATAATAATGATTACAATATTAATGATAATGGTAATGATGATAATAATGACAATAACAATAATGATAAAAAAATAATAGAAATAATGATAATAATAATAATAATAATAATAATAATAATAATAATAATAATAATAATAATAATAATAATAATAATAATAATAACAATAATAATAATAATAATAATAATAGTAATAATAATAATAATGATAATAATAACAACAACAATAATAATAATAGATAATAATAACAAAAGTAATAATGATAATAATAGAACTGATTATGATGATAATGATAATAATAATCATGATGGCAGTGATAATAACAATAATAACAATAATGATGTCAATAATGGTGATGATTTTTATAATAATGATAATGATAATCATAATAATAAGAACAGTCTCAATACTACTACTACTACTAATGATAATAATAATAATAATAATGACAATAATAATAAAAAATAATAACAAAAACAATAACAACAACAACAATGATAATAATAATATAATTATAAACAAATAAAATAAAATCATAATAAAAATAACAATAATAGCAATAATGTTAATGATAGTATCAATAGCAATAATGATAATAATAGAAACAACAACAGCAGCTGCAACAAATACAGCCAACAACTATATCAACAGAAGAAGGAGAGGGAGCATTTGGACAAAGGCGACGATGATATGATAACAGGTGAACAATGGTGGTTCGAGGCTGCAACAGAGCGGGTGCCAGCCACGCCGGCGCCCGGTTATCGCCAAGAGCCACGAGAGAAACATGACCCACGAAGAGCGAGGGCGGTGCCGTTGATAAGGCCGAGTGCAATGGCTGGGATTATGTCATGACCTGCGCAGTAACAGGTTGTTGTAGCACTATATTACGGAAAGAATGAAGTTCTTGTCTTCTAATACTGACGTTAAAACAGAGATAATGTCTTCCGGGGAATGAAATAATTCGGATGTGATGTAATTAGAAATACTTAGTTTTGTAGATTATTATTGGTGACAGGAAAACCTGCATTCTAAAATTAGATATCTTTAATGATTAAATAGTTGTTAGTTAACCTCCGTCAGAGGAGGTTTATCTAATCTTTCGGTTCTTGGGTTACCGGCCGGTCAGCAGGATTACGTAAAAGGCTAATGGCCAGCTGGGATTCATATTCATGGGGTTGGCCGGGGTCAGGGGAACGGTTGAGGTTTAAGGTCTGTTTCAGGCTGGGTGGAAATGATCAGTGGGTCCTTTGAGTGACAGGTAGCCCAGAGGCTAGAGACATTTGGTGGACAAGACCTCCACAGGCGTTTATGTATCTATCACTATCATTATAGTTACTATTTCCATAATTGTATCCTTTGTGTTGATATAATTTTCATCACTTTTCAGGCCGTCGCCATCGTTAGCATTTTAGTGCAGTTTCTAGTGGAAATTATATAAATGTGTTCACTCTTTGTGTGTGTATCCTTGCTCTTATATATTTATGTGCATACAAAAGGCGCAAGACTCTTAATGCAGAATTCCAATACCGTTTTCTTCCATTCTTCCCGTTTTACTTGAGTTCATAGTCGTCAAAAGCATGTTACCCACCTGACGCAGACCCACTATCCCAGAATCCCACGTTGATCCAGGAACGTATCTTGTGCTATAAAGTATCCAAGAAATTTCTATTGGTCCTTCTGAATTCCTGGTGCAGCCCCTCTTCACCTCAGGGACAAAGGACCCCCTGTACCTCACGCCTCGGGCTGTATGAGACTGCTGCTCTTCGTCCCACTGTATCGGCTGAGGTACTGAAGCCGTGTGTGATATCGAAGGTACCAAGCAAGTGAGATAACGGCTAAAATGGAAGTTATCAGTTGGGCATGTTATCGGTTTTCTTATCAATTTACTTTTTAGTTCTAAGTTCATTTCCAATAAATATATAGATATTTTGCTACCTATAGATTATTTGGGGGTGTTGATGTTTTTTTCTTCAGTGGCACTGTTGACTGTATATCTAAAATTAGAATTTTTTTTTTTTTTACTGTTATGCATCTCGATATCTATTTTATCTCAAAATAGTTGAATGGAGATCAAGTTGAAGGCCTCTGCGACCACATGTTGCTTTTGGTATTTTCAGAACGCAATAAATGTTCTGTATGCACGATCAAATCACAAGAGAGGCCGAAGTGATATAATAATAATAATGATGATGATAATAATAAATATTGGTAACCTCTAGTATATCTCAAAATCTCTATTCATATATAGATAGGTAGATAGATAGACAGGTAAATATTCAGACAGACAGATAGATAGAGCGAGAGGGAGGAAGGGAGGGACAGAGGAAGGGAGGGAGGGAGGGAGAGAAAGAGAGAGAGATGGTAGGAAAATCTGATTTCAAACTATATAATTCAAGCGACATGTTCTTATTTTGAATTTCTTACTTGTAGCAGATCATTTCCTTTGAGGACTCTCCATGTTTTAGAATCAGCTTTACATGATCCTACTCACAAAGCAATAAATCCCAGTAAAAATTTAGAATATCAGATAAATACTTTTTCAGACAATTTATTTATTTTTTTGTATCTAAACTCTGAAATATATCACCTTATTGCAGAATGATATACTCACGCTCCCAGCAAATGAATTTGACTGCAGCATTATTACACATAGGCACACAGGTCTGTAACATTTATTTTCTTATCTGTGATGGCATAAGCATCTGATATATTTAGTTGGAAATCACGCACTCGACCTTCAATCAGTTCAGTATTATACATTCTTTAATCATTACTATATATTCTATATTTATTGATTGGTTGATTATTGTTATTATCATTGTTATTATTATTGTTGTTCTTAATGTTATTATCATTATCATTATTATCATCATTATCATATTATTATTATTATTATTATTATTATTATTATTATTGTTGTTGTTGTTGTTGTTGTTGTTGTTGTTATTATTATTATTTAAGGAATATACAAAAATATTCTAATGTAATTTTTGATGTAACAACGACTTCACTGCTTAAAAGGGATTCACCGTGCAACTGCAGGGGGTAATGCATTACTTATCTATCAGCTGTTCTCATGATCATATACCAACATTATTATTTATACATGTATTTTATTATTGTTTTGCTGTTGTTATAATCGTTGTTATTATTGTGGATATTTAATCATTTGATCAGTGACACTGGGTTATTTTCGTAGTAGTAGTAGTAGTAAGTTGTAGAATGAATAATAGGTTATAGTAATAGTAATTGTCGTATTAATTGTTGTGGCGGTGATGGTAGGAGTAATAGTACAAGTAGTAGCAGTAGTATTGGCAGTGGTAGTGGTGGTAGTAGGAGTAGTAGAAGTAGCAACAGTAATAGCAATGATAGTGCTAGTAAGAGTAGTAGTAGAAGTAGCAGTAATAGTAATAGCGGTAGTAGTAGTAACAGTAACACTAGTCGTAGTAGTAGTAGCAGCAGCAAAATAGGTCTAATAGCTAGAACAGTAGTGATGGTAGTAGCAGCAATAGGGCGAAGAGCAGTAGCAATAATAGTATCATTAGTTGTAGTAGAAGTGGTAGTAGTAATAGTAGCTGTTGTAGTAGTAATAGCAATTGTTGAAATAGTATTTTTATCATCAATAGCATCCTCACACCGTCATCACAATTATCTTCATTATTTTGCTGAGCTTGTTTAAAGCACTGTACAACGGCGATAATGAAGTTCTTAAGGTGTCTACCACAGACATTAAGGCAGAGGTAATGTCTTCCGGGGAATTACATGAGTCGGGTGTGAGGCAATGAGATATTTTTAGTTTTGCAGGTAATTAATTATCAGTGACAAGAACATCTGGATTCTAAAATTAGATACTTTTAGTGATTAAATAGCATTGTTCATTATTAATTGCTGACTGTCAATTAAAGGGACAATATTTCCATTGTAAATGTATACTAAAAATTTATTTGTCTTTGAAATCGTTTTCAAATTCAGTTCTCCGGAATAAAAAATCAGAGTTGATCATGCACTTGTCGAGTCTCGTGATACAAATAGTTTTACCAAGTGTATGATACTGGCAAAGTATCCTTATCAAAAAATGTTATGTCATGACGCATTTCTTAAGCCTTTTTCGAAGATAACAGAAACTCAGACAGATGCAATCTTTCTTTGCATGGCCTTAGATTAGTAATTTTTGTGAGAAGCATCAGACTTTTAATTACACTTCAGTACCCCAAAATAGGCAGAGTTTGCATCTGCATTAGATTCATTTTCATTTCAAGATTTATTTTAAATTTGATTCATATTGTTATTATAGTATCACATTAATATTGATATACGTATAAGCTTTCTGTTTGCCGTTAAGCTCTCTCTGTTGTCGTCTGCCCTCGCAACTTGTGCAGTTTCATTTCTTACTTGTCAGCGTATATATTCATAAATTGTTTATCTCTACATTCACTTGTTATCTACTTCGCTATACCCGAAGCAAGC